ATTGTAATTAATGCTGCCCAGCACCTGCACTGGGAGAGGCACCCATGTTTACGAACTCATTTTTATGGACTCATTTTTTCCTCCTCTGCCTTTAGGTAGCAGAGATTTCCACGTCTTCAACAGGGCAGCAGTACTCGGGGAAGGAGAAATTGTCTCCAGTCGTGTAGACTCCATTACTGGGAGAAAGGTGTGAACAGCAAGCATGTCTGGCAGACGGATTCATTATACCACCGTGTCCTTTATAATGGGAAATGAAAAGCCCATTCTGATAACTACACTTTATTATAATAGGTCAGAAGAAGTGAAAGGCATCATCTTATAAAATTAACTTCATAAAGACTGCCTCAAAAAAAGGAAAAAAAAAAAATCTCTGCTCAGCTTATCCACCGCATCTTTCTTTCAGAGATTTTTTCCTTTTAGAAGAGATGTGATTCCAAAATTTTGTCCCACCGAATCCCCTTTCACTTTTACCCACTATCCGAAGGAATAGATCTGTTTTCTTCTAATCAGTCTCAGGCACTTGTTTTGCCAGATGCACTAAATGCCAAGTCTTTGTCAAGACCAAGAAACTACTCAAGTAAACAGTTAAAATTAAGAGACACCCATCCCCAAAGGTTCTCCTAAAGAAGTGGAATTCTTTTTTTTTTTTTTTTTAAAAAAAGAAAGTCAGAATATAGATGCACATACCTGCTAGCCCATTCTGTGGGTACCTCTCAATTGCTTTTTCTGGTAGCTGTTAGTTGAGCTGAAGTCCAGCCTTTCAGTCAATTACAATTTTATAATTTAGCAACTTTCCAGCAGGTGCTTGAACTTGGTGCCCACAGGTGAAAGGCAGGAGATGGCCAGATGTCCAGTAAAGTAGAGCATCTCTGCGGCTTCCAACACCTGGCCTGGTTCTGAGCAGCACCCTGAATTTTGAAGATTAGTGTCTATTGTAACTAATTGGCAGAGAAGGGCTGCTCCATTTTCTGGAAGTGATGGTTATTGCAATTTTAGGAGAATTTTATGTATAAAGGCCAAATTACAGATTCTCAGCTACATTTTGTAAAGCAGAAGGAAACTGCTCCAGCCCTCAAACAGGCAACTGGACAGACTCTCCAATAAGTGTTTCCTTTGATGGTACCACTTTCAGGTATGTCCAATTCTAGGAAAGCTCTTTAGTATTTATCCCTCAGGTAGCATTTGATTGGGTGGAAATCTTTAAGAAACTCTTTTGTAAAATCAGTTATTCCTCTTTGGGCAAACATAAAATATATATTGCCTTGAAATGTTACACAGCAATTGCAAGAACACCTTTGTTTTTTTTTTGTTCAAGAAAGTTGGCATGGATAGGGGAGAAGGAAAGAGGATTCTCCAGGATGCTGAAACAAACAGTTAATTGGAACTTCAAATGAGCGTTGCATGGATCTAATGTGATAGATTTTAAAGGAGCCTAATTTTCCGAAATTGCCAGAGCTCCAATCTGTGAAAATGTGGCCTTTCACAGGACTCCAATTCAGCACGCCACATCTAGAGTTCCTATTGAAAAAAGACTTGCCATAAAAGCCCCCCAATTTGGTAGCAAAAATTAACAACCTTCATGGGATATCAGCCTTTTTGTCTCTCCTCTCCTAACCATGGCTCCTCGCAAAGAGCTGTCAAAGGACGATTTATCCTTTGTCATTTTTCCAGGTAGCAAAGATAAGAGCAGAATCTAATAAAGAATAAAAATGGGGGGAAAAAGAACCCACCCACAAAAGCTAAATCTTCACACCTACCCCAGAAGCAGCCACTGTAATTGCAACGTGTTTCTCCCTCCAAGGGAAATAACACCAATCGGGTCTCAAAAAAATCCCCAGGCGAGTGACAGAGCCCGGGAGCTTGAGCACAAGCACTCGGCAGGACATGTTTCGAGGTGACACGTGCCCGGTGGCCCCAGCAAGGCCACCTCAGGGCTGGGCCATCCTGACCAGGACAGGCAGTTCTTCCAGGCAAGGTACCACGTGCAAGGTGGGCGACGAGCGGAGCTTGCAGAGCCCTGCATGGAAGACACTTAATTTGCAGGCAAATTTGAGCCTTTGAGGCCACTAACCTGAGCGTCACGACTTCCAAGCGCAGAGAAAATTAAGCGTCGCCTCTCCAACCCAACGATTAAAACTCTCTATAATCCCCAAACTCCGAAATCAAAAGAAACATGTTTGCTTTGAATCTCCTGTGAACTATGAGCTTGGGGAAAAATCAATTTGCATTTCGCACCCACACACGGAGCTTCCCAAAGACCCACGTGCTCCCAAAGGTCCAGTCCGCCACCGGGAACGGCCAAGGAGGAAGCTGCTGGGAGCAGAACATTCCCAGACCTGCTGGATCTGTAGGATACGGGACGTACCGGGCAAGTTTGAAGGCTTTGAAGTGATGGAACCATAAATGGTGACATCAAAAAGTGTAAAACAACCAGGGCAGGATTTCCTGGAGCACCAATGCTGAACACACATGTGCAGAGCCTTTCAAAATTCACTATTCAAAGCACCCAACTTGGCCATTTAGCCGCATTTCAGCGTCACTAACACCTGCTTTGGGGCAGGATCAGCAAAGGAGGATCAGCACGTCGCCTGACAAAGCTCAAAACATGAAAATATTTGTTTGGGATAAATAATTTTATCTCGCCCAGGCAATTAGGAGGGGGGAAAAATGCAGCAAAGGAACCGCATCAGCTGCAGGGCTGCAAAGGGGCTTTGGAGCCTGTGGAACAGCAGAGGAGCTGCTGGTCCTGCCGAGCATGGGGCCACGGCCCCGCGTGGCACTGCCATCGGTCCCCAGCCCCGGCACGCGCTTCCTGGGCAGGCTAAGAGTGCCCCCTGCAGCCCTGGCGTCCCCGCCGAGCCACCGCTCGCCATTCCCGACGAATCCATGGCAAAACGCGAGGAGGACGCGTTCCCAAACGCACACGGAGCTCTGAGCTCAGCAGCGGAGGTGCCCGATGTCAAAGCCCACGAGGGAGTCTCCGGGGACGAAGCGCTTCGCGGCGCTCCGGCACGCCTGGTTTCAGCCGCTCCGAAGGGAAAGGGCTACGGCAGGGGCAGAGGAAGGATTGTGGGTCCCCCCGCCCCATCCGCTGGCTTTTGTTTTGAGGAAAAAAACACATCTCGGAATACCTTAAATAAATGAAACGGATGTTCACGCAATTCTCCTTAAAATGCTGTAGCAGCACGGCCAGCAGCTGCACGTACCTTGCAATGTTCCTCAGCTTGCTCTGCTGCTCCTTCCTCTCCGCAGCACCGAGGTGCCAGGCAAGAGAGAAAACGGGAGAAACCGTCTCTGCCGGGCACTTCTGTCCTCTAGGATAAGTACATAAGTCTCCCAGCTCTTTGCACTTATCACAGGGCCCTAAAAGTTTAATAAATACCCTGGTTTTGTTTGCTCTAGTGTTACAGAGGACAACTGCAGCCTAATGGCGCTGAGCTTTAAGCTGGTGCTGTCCCATGTGCTGGGAAAACTCAGCACAGCCGATTTCTTTTGCCCTCTTGTACCAGCGTCAAAGCAAAAGTATCCAAAACTTCTAAAACTGCAGAGTGTAGGAAAGAAAAATACCTTCTGCTGTTCTACAGGGATACTTAGGTTGCTCCCATCCCTCATGGAGCAACAAAGTGTGTCCGAGAGCCGAGTTACAACCCAGGTCACATTAAACTCAAGGAGCCGACTCCAAAATACCCATGCAACACTCCACTGTCCTCATCACCTTGCATCCTTCCTCCCATCTGCCAGGAAAGGGCCCAGCAGCAGCAAAGAATCCACCTTATCTGGGGTCAGGAGAACATTATACATTAATAAAATGGGTAGAATGGGTAGAATTCACTGCATATAGGGGAATGCATTGCTTCTCTGCTCCCACCAAATGCTGCACAATGGCTTCTCGCAAGGCAGTTTTCAGTGTTTGGTTTTGCAAGGTTTTAAAGGATTCAGTAATTCCACAAGCCAGCCCCTCTCGAAGCAGCCTTGACTAAAGGGCCTGCCTTGTGCTCACACACATTTACACTAACCCAGCAGAAAAGCTGCCTTCTTAACAGCACTGAATTCTGCCTTGCAGATGGGACCTATCAAGCTCGCTTTGCAGATGGAAAAAACATCAGAGGGACAGAAAAGGACACGGATGCCCCCAACTTTGCAGGGCAGCAGCACTGCAGACCCTAGTGTGGGGCACTCAGCAATGAAAATAACTTCTTCCCCCCGGGGAGCAAGATGTCTCACACAGTAAAGGCACATCCCCTATCCTGGGATGCATCACGAGGCTTTGCAAGTCACCCCCCAAAAGGCTGAGGACGCAAGAAAATAGAGACCAGCCGACGTACAGAGCACCACGGTCACTAGGATGACCACGTTAGGCCAGGTTCCTAAACCAGTGCTACCCCAGCCACATCTCAAGCCCAACAAGGCGATTCTTGCTGGAGAGGCCAGCGCAGTCTCGTGTCCCTGCAGTCCCCGCGTTGCTGATGCCGGGGCAGCACCATCCTGCCTACCACACACAGCCCCGTGCGCGCAGCAAAAGGCTCCTGGAAGCCAAACTGAGATTCCAGTGCTCCTTCCACAACGAAAAGGAGACACAGGGGCAGGGGCACAAGGCAGAGCGGGGACAGAGCCGGGTCTCAATGCAAACCGAGGCCAGCAGCAGCCCACGGCAGCTCTCCTGCTGCTTCTCCCCAGCCAGGGCTGCCACGAGCAGGAAAGCTGCTGCACATGCTACACATAAGGACACAAAAGTCAGCGCTGTGTCACTTGTTCCACACGTGGGGAGATCCTCCCCTTCTGCTGCTGTCCTCTGAGCAGTGTGGCACCTTTCTGAACATCCACAGCGGCTCTAACCAAAGCATGGGCTCACGCAGAGTTTCTGTACTGGGATATTCCACTAAAACATTCATATTTGCATTCAGTCAAGGCTCCTTTACCTCCACAAAAAAGAAACAGATCTTACAGAAAGATCTTGGGCACGGAGGACTCCCCAGGAAGATGAAAAACTACTTTCCTACCTGAAGAGTTCCCTGATTTCCCTCACAGTAGCTTGGAATGGGATATTTCGGACCAAGATCTTGGAAGTCGTCTGCTTCTTGAGAGTTTGTTTCTTCCGGGATGATTTCACAGCGGGTCTGAGAAGTCAACAGCAAAGGGCAGTTAGAGGCCAGCACAAAGCAAAACATCCAAGCTGTTCTGGCTCCTCTAAAATGAGGAATCTAGAAAGAGTGGCCAGGTAGCTCACGACCAACATCCTCACTGGCATCTTAACTGGCAACACTGGAAATTTCAAAGAGTAAATGGAGAAGAAATTAATTTCCTGTTTTAAATCCTATGTCTAGAAATCAAAAGTTTCAGCTTTCAAATCGCAATCACAGTTTTTAAATATACTTAATCCACTTTCCTATATGCACTTGGTTACTCCTCCTGAGAAGAGATGACGCATCATGCCTGTACTCACATTTGCTACTAACTTCTGTTCTGACAGCAAACCTTGTATATTCTAGTGCACATCCCTCTATTTCCACATATTTAAATGATTAATGTATGCAAACTTTCATCCCTTTTCTTACTGACTTAGAAAATTGTTAATCAACTTTTAGAACAGATTTTTTTCTTTTTTTGCTAAGGACTGGTTGTATTTGAACAAGAAACATTTACTCAATACAAAAAAAAAAAAACAACCCAGCAGCTTGCTTTGTAAAGTAAATCACATAATAGACTGGATACCAACTGAATGCATTTTTAAATGCAAAATGGTTAGAAATGGCTTATTAAAGAATTGAAATGCAAGCTGTAGATAGCGAACTGTCAAGACTGGTTTTAGTCCGCGGGGGCCATATTTTTCAAAGCAGTTTTGACATTTTAGAGATACATCCTCCAGTAGGGTTTCCAAAACCTCTAAACAATTTTCAGATGCCAATATGCACTCTTAAGCATTTGGGTTCATTTTCAAGCTTGCACTTGAAAGTTTGTATGGAATAAAAACTACAAGGAAGACCCTAATGCAGGGCTCCATCACATTTCATCCAGAAGAAACCGTCTCTTTTGTACCTGGCAGCCCAAACAAAAGAAGTTAAAGTCAATTTTTTTCTCAAACAAGAAAGGCCAGAAAACTTGCCCTCCCACTGCTGTTTCAGAAGCTGTGATGAGTACAACCACCCCTACTGCTGCATGAGCCCCCTTCTCCCCCTGCTTCCTAACGCTCCGAAATCCGGAGGCTCTGCAGATACTTCTACTGGCTCTCAGTAAGATTTGGGTTGTCTGCCCAGGGAAGGGGAGAGAATGGTCACAAAACACTTGGCACATCCTAGTCCCTTCTCATCTCATTGCTCTATTCTTTCTGGAGCAGCTGTTTTGACCACTGATCCCCTGCTCTTTGGCTGCACCATCTCTGAAGGAGCTAAACCTAGTCCCACATTAACCCCAATTTCATGGGTGCACTTCAAAAATCCCATGGGGGAGGAGTTACACAGGGTTTAGCAATAAAAGTACAAATCTGAGCTAGTCACCCTCTGTTCAAGGGCAAAAAAAGGGCAACTCCAGAGAAAAGTCAGTCTCACCTGAGGTACCAACTCAAAGGACCTTAGTCCCTGGTTCAGATTCACTTTTGGGATTGCACCATGGCATGCTGCTTATGGGTTTTACTGGAGAAAACACCAATTACTGCTGAAAATAGCTAACAGGTTTGCATCATTTTTCATCACTTTTTTTTTCCTCCCCCCCAAAAAAGACTAGGCAAGGCAATTGCTGGTACAGCATTAAAAGCTGCTGTGTTTAGCAGTCATATCACTAGTGACCACAGCCCTCCTGATGCAGAAATGCTAGCTAAGACATGAAGGGCCTAACAAGAACTACCACAGTGCAGAGAAGAGACATAGCTTTACCTGAGAGCTCTCTCTGAGATCTTCACTTCCAGCTTATGGCCATCTACGGAGCAGCCCTAAAAGTCAAAACAAAATAAACAGGAAAACACTGAAATCACAACAGTTTTCAAGCTTTCCCCGTGATCAAGCTCTCTGTTGAACACCATTCAAACAGGCCAAGGTTTTTGGTATGAGGTTAGGGACTGCCCGAGTAACTGAAGGAGCAGCCAGCATCCTTGATCTAGCTGTCCCTCAGCCCCAGCTCCACCACTGCCTTGGCAAGGACAAGCCACTTGTGCTCCTGCTTCCTCTCCCTCTAGGCTACAAACTCTTCAGGGCAGGCACCGGCTTCTGACTTCTCCTGGACGGAGCCAAGGATGTCTCATTTGCAGCCAGGAGCCAAAACTGCAAGAAAATCTCATCTCTCCCTTCCTGCGCCTCGGTGATTCAGCACAGGAATCACAGAGCATTTTGTCTAATCGATCCTGACAGGGCAAACAACGTGCAAGGTCTTTACACTGGGAAGCTGGAGCTCTACTACTCGCTTACTCTCCACTTTCCCTGCAAAACTACCCATTTTCTTGCTTTCTCTCCTCTCACTTCTACTGCTAGACATCTATGTAGACTGTGGAATATGCGAGCACCAGCTGCTGAAGGTGAGATTCACAGACTGTGGTCACTGAATGCATGCAGATTATACAAGCATGTTCAGCAATTCCTTCAATTCCAGCTAGAAAAGGATCATTCCAACTTTCCGGCTTGTAGCACCCAGGTAATAGGGGCCAAATGGTTCAGTGAAGTCCTTCTAGCAGCACAAGGAATGAGCTGTTTCTCTGCAGCCCAACCCTACAGCACTTATCATGGAGAAGACATGAGGCTGCAAGACTCTGGATGAACAGCAGATTCACAGAGGATGAAACTGTGAACTTCACAGCACTAAACACTAAGCAGTAGTTAATTCTTAGTTGGGGCCTGGGTCTCTTGTCACTGCTGTAAAGGAAACCCTGCAGGATAAACTCACTAAACCTCAAGCAGTTTATTTTTTCTGCCACCTCCATACTTGATCACTACTAGATGACTCTTTACTGCATGAGGTCCTCTCCCTTACACAACATATTTCCTCTCAGGCCTAGCCCAATTTAGATACTACTCCATCAGTACAGCATCACTCACAGTACTGATATCCTTGGCTAGAGCCTGAATTTCATGGGTCATCCAATCCTTTGCCCTGTGGAATCACCTGTGGCAAGAAATCTGAAGCCTACCTGAAGTTGACGTAGGGCTTTCTGAGCACTCGCTGGTTTCTTGTACTCCACAAACCCAAAGCCCATTGAAAGCAAAGCACCTATGAGAAAAGAAAAGAAATTTGTTATATTAGTAGGAATCAAGAATGATATTAAGCAGATCATTCATGACTGATTAATGTTGAAAAAGATACTGCTCTAGAACAGATGCTCTACTTGAACAGCCTGGCCTTGCTTGTTTTGGAGCTCATGTCAGGGGATAACTGAAGTTGTATGCAGAATAGATTTTTGCTTTGCATAATTGTAGTGCACCCATGTTAAAATATTAACTACAAGTCGTGCGAAACAGAAGCTGTTCGGATTCAAGGTGGATACCAAGATGGATAGCAGGATGGATACACACATTTTTTATACCCATAACTTTCTCCTCATGACCTTCATTTGGAAGGTTTGCCAACAACCCAGAAATGGGTACGATTTTTGCCGCAAGATAGAAACCCCCAGACTGTAGGGTGGTCTTAAGATGACATTTTTCCAGAACCCATCCAGGAATTCATTTTGATCAACACTACACACACTCTAATTAAAGCTGTCTGAAGTGCAAGCCCTGTGTTTCACCCAAGAGGCAGAATGCCTCTGAGGTCTGCAAGACACCACTAGCAAATGGATAAACCTGGAGGGGCAGCTCCACCTTCCAACCCAAAGATGCAGCCTCACAGCTCTTTAGTTCTTCCCCGAACCAGCAAAACTCACAACATCTCCAGTCACGTTGTGCGTCTAAGGAATGCACTAACAAATTCAAAAGCCCATAATTAAGGCTGGGTGAGAACAGGAAAAGCCCACAAAGCCACAACCAAAAACAAAACATCCAGTTTCCAGCTTCAAAGCTCCAATGGCAGCATGTTAACAGAGACCATCACCCTGCAGTGATAGAAGCAGGTTGCTTTGGAAAGGAGAAGATCAGCTTAAACTCAAAGCTGCAGACTGCTCATGCCTACAGCTGTGCATTTGAGCAGTACAGAGCTTTTTTCCCCCACTCTCCATTCCTTTTTTCCCTCCCCTCTCTGAATGGACCCCATGTTTGAGTATCCCATGCAAGAGCAGCTCTGTACAGAGATTTCCCAAGGCAAATCCCCATGAAACTGTGCAACTCTCTAGTTTAAAAACTGGGAAAAAAACATAGCCCATATAGTCAGTACTCACCTTAAGCAAGCTCCTTCCCGTGCAGCTGCCAGAAGCCAGGCACAGGCAGCACAGCAGATACAACCACTCCCCACAGCAGCACGCTGGGGTTCAGAGGAGGCAGCCAGAAGGCAAACTAACCTCACTCAGCACAGTACATCCTTGTACATCAACCAGACATCCTTGAAGATTCCGGTTGCTTCTGTGTTTAAAGTATTTGGTACACAGGTTTAATCAACACGGGGCACTGGCTCCATTCAACTTCCATTCTGCTCTCTTCTATGATCCTGAAGGAGCTGGCTTCTCTAACCTGATCTCAAGAGAAGGCCACATCTTTACATACCCCACAATTGAGCTTAACCTTCTAGGCTGAACCCTGGGGTGTATCTGGTTGCTGTTTTCAGCCATTTCAACAGGCATACTTCTAGGCATATTAAGAATTTCACCAATGACAGACAAATGCCCTGCTAAAGCAACGCCACACCTGAGCCCTCCGCAACCAGCCGAGGGAAGGAATTGAACAGCAACATCTAGAGTACCTGCTTTGTCTTTCTTCTTGGATATTGTGCAGCTCTTCACAGCTCCCACTTTGGAGAATATCTGCAAGGAATTTAGACACGTGACTTAATTCTCTTTGTCAAAAGCTTGCAACTCAACTCGAGTGACAACGTGGCCCTCTTCCAGAGCCAGGAACACACACTCATGGGCCCACCTCCCCGTCACACACCTAACAAGGAGTCAGAGCAGCTGGGACTTTAATTCTCTTAAAGTTATTCATATACAAACAGACAAAGACATGCTAACAAATATACATTTTTAAACAAACCTAGGCACAATTAGTCTCACAAACTCTCCATCTTTCCTCAGTAACTGTGTAGGGACCTGGAACAGCCCTGGAAGAACATTATGGATTACAAACACCCTCACCCATGTAGATTCTAGGGATGCAATATTCTAGACTGCTCCTTCCAAACCCACCCAGGAGGGCTTGCAAGGGCTGCCCTGCAGTATTCTAGCAGCGAGGTGTGAGGTGCTGCTGTGGGCACTGGCTCCCAGGGCTGCTTTCCTCTATTCCTGACCATTTCCTGCAGGAGGATGTAGGCAGAGTCAGGCACTTGCCACACAGCCCAGAGCACAGGGAGACCAGTCGAGCACCGGGACCCGCGCGGTGCCGCCGCTGCTGTCACCTGGATCAAAGTCTCCACGCTGCTCTGATGAAGGTAAATGCTTGGGACACCTGCCAGGATACTGGGACCACAAATCACTCAAGCTCTTTCTGCTCCCAGTCTGTCCTGGATCCATGAATGACAGCACAGGCTGAATGTGCTGCGCTCTGCCCCTTTGGCACTCGCATGCAAACCAAGCTCACTTGCTATCCATAAAAAGAGACTGCTTGGACATCTGTTTTGCTGTCATGCTGTCAGTGGAGAAAGAAGCCTCCCTTCACAGACAGCCAGGGTATGCCAACTGCTCAGACTTCAAGGACAGGTTGGAGATTACAAAGTAATGGGTATTTGGGCAATTAAACTAGCTTTTCAGAACTATTCTAAAGCCACATGGCTTTAGAAATGCTACAATATCTCCCTTGCTGAGGTAAAGCAGCATGGGCTTCCCTGTCAAGGCACAGGCGGCTCAACGTCGTTAGAAATTTAGATGAAAAGTGCATCTCAGTGAAACCATGCATTAAATACATTAACGTGCAAAGCGCTATCACAGCTGCAGAAGTGCCGGTCCCAAGGAGAAGCCAAGTACCAAGTATGGAGAGTGGAGAGTCTTAAAAGATTTTCTATTGCTTCCTCCTGTCCCAAGATGGAATTAATCCCCATCAAAACAGTTTCAGACATGTTTGTTTAATTGATGCCTAAAACTCAAAAGTGGAGGTATCCCAGCATAAGCCATTACAAGGTTACATTAGTTGCAAATTAACTCCTTTAAACACCTTGCCCTCCCCACACTACTGCTGCAGAGCAACTTGCCTCTTGCACCATCAAGCAAGACCAGGGCTTTTGCTTCGAAAGCCTGTGCAAGGAACAAGGACTTTACTCCAAGAGGCATCGCAGTCTGGCCCTCAACCACACAAACACACCCCACCTCCCTGCTCCTCTGAGCACACTGTGACTGGCAAAACCCAGTCCCCCTTCCTCGCACAGGGCTCACCTCCTTCAGCGTGTCTTCTGTGGTGGCAAAGTTGAGGTTTTTGATGAACAAGGTACATCCCGGAATGTGTTCTTCCTCCTCCTCCTCCTCCTCTTCTTCCTGTGCAGCTGGTACCTCTGAGTCCTTTCCAGGTTTGTCGGTGCCGTTACCTGATACACAGAAAACAAACCCAACGTTGTAATATGTGGCAAAGCCAGATCTTGGCTGAGCTTGCTCCCCGCTCCAGCTGCTCATGCAGCAGGAACGAGCTATTTCTCTGCAGCTCTTCTGAGGTGAGCACAGACTGAAGCAGACTCAACACATGGTATGTGAACATGTCATCTTCGGGGAAACTCAAGTATTGCCTGTTCTTCAATCATTGCATTCCATGGACCTTCTTCCCCAGCATCCAAACACCCTCACGTCAAAAACAGACACCTGCTGCACTATGCAAGGGGCCTTCCCTCAAAAGAGGGCGTAGGAAGGAAGGCCAGGGAGCAAGGGAGGAAGAAACCCACGTTTCCCTGGAAGACCCTTTCAAATCCTTTGTAACAGGCAAGAAGTGCCTGGCATGGCTGGCTGCAAAGAAGATGGAGGGCAGCAAGAAAGGGAAATGAGAGTCAGCCAGGATGCTGGCACTGAAAGTCACCAGCACCAACATCAGCCACTTTCCTTTCACCACTAACTCCAAAAAGTTAGGAGGAAAATCAGTATCTGCCAATCCCTGAACTGACCAGAATGTTCCCAATGTCCCTACTGAGGCCTTGCAGCTCTACCTACAGCAGCTGCTTGACACGATCTGTAGCTGATTCTGAGCTTTATATACTAAAACACGCAGCCTTTCCTCATGTCTGGTTACACAGCAGCTCACTCCAGGTCGCAGCACATCCAATTATACATGTTGGGATACAGAAAGCCAAAAATTAAGTGGCAATTCAGCATGACAACCTCCTCTGGGGCACGTACACTCCATTACTGAGTTTGAGGCCTTGTCCAAAACGGTATTCGACACATTGAAGAGCTCAGAGCTCCTGGGTGGCCGCAGAAGAGAGGGCTTTTAGTCCCCTCAGCGAGACAGTCTGCAGTGGGACTAGGGCTGTATCAGACACCAGAGCACACAGGAGCGTTGGCTCCTTTGCTTGCTAGATACCTTGTCTTCCAGGCTGGCTTCGTTCCCTACGGCAGAGCTGCTGCTGAGCTCAGGAGGGCCAACCTAATCGCCTCCCTTTGGCATTAACACATCTCCCCTCCGGGTGGTTTTTACAGGCTTAGTTCTCTCTCATTGCACCCGAAGGGACCCCGCGCTGGCTCCAGGGCGCTCGGGGAGCCCTCGCTCCATCCCCAGAGCCGCCTTTCCCCACTTGGCTCCATCCCGCCGGCCTCCGCGGCCCCTTGGCATCACGCGGCCCGAGCCTTCTCGGTTGGGTGGTCAAATCCGCCTCGCTCCCGCTGCCTGGAGATTTGCCAGCGTCGAAAGATGAAAAAAAACCCATCACCTTTGAAGAAAACTCATTTGAGGGAGGGGGAGGGAAGAGATGTAGCGAGATGGGGGAGGGCTGAGAGGGAGCCTCCATGCAAACCGAGTTTACTGCACATCCCCTCCCTCCCCTCTCAGCGATGCTGGCAGCAAAGACCATTATCAGCCCCGCGCAGCCTTCCAGGAGCTGCGGCGCTTAAAGCCCTTTATCTTGAGGTGAGGGTCTCGGCTACGGGGAGATAAGGCTCCCCCCCCCCCCCCTGCCTCTAGCCCTCCCCTGTGACCTGCATGCAGAACTGGAGCCCGTGAAGATGCTTTTCAGCTTTTTCCTCTCCCCCTCCCCAAACTCCAGGCCTGAGCGAGCTTCCAGCAAACAAATAAAGCCATGATTCTCCCTTAAATTTAAAGGGATCCTGAAAGGTTTTAAATATACAGGGAAGATTTAGTTTTCACAGGGCGGGGGCAGGTTGCATCCGTGCAGCGAGAGCAGTGAGAAGTCGCCCAGATGACACATGCAGCAGGGCTGGAGAGCACAAAGAAACGTGTGCAGGGACTCACAGGCTGCCATGGGCGATTGAGCCACTGCTGCTGGTGCTCCCGTTGTTGCTGCGAGCCCAAGGGCACAACCTGTGCCCGTACACAGGAGCTCCTGTTGTTGCTGTGAGCCCAAGGGCACAACCTGTGCCTGTACACAGGAGCTCCCGTTGTTGCTCCGAGCCCAGGGGCACAACCTGTGCCCGTACACAGGAGCTCCCGTTGTTGCTCCGAGCCCGGGGGCACAACCTGTGCCCGTACACAGGAGCTCCCGTTGTTGCTGTGAGCCCAGGGGCACAACCTGTGCCCGTACACAGGAGCTCCCGTTGTTGCTGTGAGCCCGGGGGCACAACCTGTGCCCGTACACAGGAGCTCCCGTTGTTGCTGTGAGCCCAAGGGCACAACCTGTGCCCGTACACAGGAGCTCCCGTTGTTGCTGTGAGCCCGGGGGCACAACCTGTGCCCGTACACAGGAGCTCCCGTTGTTGCTGCGAGCCCGGGGGCACAACCTGTGCCCTTACACAGGAGCTCCTGTTGTTGCTGCGAGCCCGGGGGCACAACCTGTGCCTGTACACAGTGGGTATCTGCACCCAGGTTCAGCTGGGGTCGGGCCTTGCTTACGCAGAGCGGCTCACGCTCTCCCGACGGCTGCTGCCAACACCAGGCCCTGTCCTAGCGACAGGGAGGTAGGACTCAATTTGGTATCGAGGGGCTTTTGCTTTGGCAACCCACAGCTAAGAAACAGCCAGGCTGGGCTGGCCCATCATCACAGCTGATGGATGGGAATGCAGATTCCACTAAGTAGCTGTCCAAGCATTTCCAAGCCCCTGAGCACTGCATTATCCCGGAGCCTACGCACCATCCCCGTCTCAGATCGCCCACACTGCTGTCCAAGCAGGGATACAAACGCTCGACGCAATCACCTGCCTTATTGCAGCTGCCAATACCAGACAAAGAACAAAAATTTCCTCCCGTTGCCAAAAACAAGAGCTCACATCAGTCCAATCCACACTGGATTCTGCTCTGAATGTTGGAAACAGCGCTGGACTCTCCATGTCTTATCCAGGCAGCAAATGAAATCGGAGACGATAACAAGCACAACATTCGTATGTGAGGTGAACGAACACGCTGCAGGAGGGAGCATGCAAAGAATTTGAGATAACACTGGTTCCGTCCCAGCTGAGTGACAGTTGGGTGACACGTCCATTTGAGTGACAGAGCACTGGAACAGGCAGCAGACCTAGAGAGGCTGTGGAGTCTCCTTCTCCGGAGATCTTCCACACCCGTCTGGATGCCACCCTGTGCCACGTGCTCTGGGTGTCCCTGCTGGAGCAGGGGTTGGACTAGATGATCTCTAGAGGACCCTGCCAACCTCAACCATTCTGTGATCCCCGAAGTGTAGGAAACCTCAGTGTTGCCATTTTACATGGAAAAGAGCAGGGAAACAATCAGAGATGCTTCTGTTTCAAAGTCAAAGCTCTTACCTGATTCCAGCTTTACTTTCCCTTCCTCTTCTGGAACCTCAAGGGTTTGTTTCTGAGGGACTGGCCCAGAAAAGACACCCATTGGAGCCCATTCCAGATACAGTGGCACTGAGTGAAACTGTAAAGACAACACAGAAGAAAAATAAAGAGTGGAGGGCAAGACCTGAAGAAAGGACTGCTCTCAGCAAACGCTTTGTTATGGGAAACTGGAGCGGAAAAGCTGAGCAGCATTTTCAGCTGACTCAATTCTTTCACCCAAGTGAAACTGCACACAGGACCACAGCCTCTCATATGACATCTACAGGTCATGGTGCAAGGCCACGGAGAGGCAAATGGTGTCCAAGGGATGCTCTTGGCTTTGGTACCACACTCCTGTACCACAAAGGTGACAAAAACCCTTTCCAGGCCACTGAGATGCTGTGGACTTATCAGAGCCTTCTCTCCCTGTCAGTCCAAGGTGCCTGGGCAAGCTGAGAGCCCTACTCAGATAGTGTTGCATAAGGGAGCATCAGGCATCACTCTAGATCCAAGGGACAGAGAATAACAGCAGTGACACTTTTGGGGGCAACTTATTCCCCTAAAAAGCCCTTGGAATCTCACATCTGTAGCTAGTTCTCCTTTCTGCAGGATCACAGTTAATCAAAATCACTCAGATGAACTGCCCATTCTCACCCAGAAGACTTCACAGACACAAGCCAATTTCTACCAGCCAACCAGGCAGGACTCGGTGCTCCGGCTCCTTTTGCCAGCCTGGCAGGATGTCTTACCAGGCAACGCTCCCTGGGCACCTGCCTGCTCTGTGCCATGCTCACCTTGCTGTAGGCCAGCCTGGTGAAAGCTTGCTTGGCCTCAGTTGGCTCCAGGAACTCCACAATAGCTGTGATGCCACCTTCTGGGAGCAGCACTCGGCCCAGACTGCCATGTTTGCCAAAAACCTCCTCTAGTTCTGCTACCCTCGTCCTAGCAGGGAGGTTCTTCACCAGGATCACAGTTTTACTCCGCTCACCAGCAGCCTGTAACATTTGGAGGGGAAGAAGGGAAGAGAAATAGAACAGAAGAAGTAAAAACCAATTTATTTTAACAACTGATGATTTCAGATCCAACGTAACAGGCTTCCTTGCTCCACATCACACCTTTCCAGGACATAACAGGGCCAGGAGTCTTTTAGAATATATTTTATCAACGAGATTCACACCCCAACACAAAACTCCCATTTCACACACGCTCATACACAGAGATTTGAGCTCCAGGTCCACCCTGGCATGGACACAGGACTCGCTCTCTGCCTACTGCCAGCAGTCACACTGCAGCACATTTCCAGCCATCCTAGGGGTGGTTGCACATTCAAACGGACAGAACAGCCCCTAACCCCCCTGAGGGTTTCATCCTGCAAAATGCTGAGAATTCAATTATCGATTTCTATGTAACCTAAGGACCCCAGGACCAGACAAGCATTTAGAAGAGGTAGGTCCACTTTGCTGCTGGACATCTCACCTGACTGAAGGAATCCAGGCTGACTCCATTTTCGATGAGGAACCGGCGGATTTCCTGGACAAGCTCAGTTTCTCCCAGAGCAACCCTCACTGCCACGCTGTCTCTGCTCTCCTATAGGAAAGGAAATCAACAGTGTGACACAGGTCAAAACAGAGAATCAAAGTGTTTATCCAGAAAGGTGCTGGGCACTTGATTTTCCTGCTGGTCTCAGAATTAGATCTCAAGAGAACTCTGCAGAGAGCTTAAAATTGCTGGGAGTTTTGCTCCCAGAAAACAGCCCTAAAGGCAAAGTGACATTTCCAGGAAGAATAAGCTATAAGTTAATAAATTTCCAGCAGCTTCTAGTCACCTTGAGGGGCAAAATTCAGCCAGGAAACCCAGGGTGGGGGCAGTTATTTTGTCTTCTGATGACAAAGGTGTCGTCAAGCTCAGCGGGGCTACAGGACCATGGATCTTTCAGTCTGACTGCTTGGCGTTCATGACCAAGCAGTATCACGAACACTGTGTGTTGTTTACCCTTTTGGGGTAGAAAAAGACTAGCTAAGCTCTGGTGGTGAAGAAACAGACAGAAAAACGATCTGCCATTCCTGGGCTGACCAAAAACTCAACTCACGTGATCCAGCACTTGGCTTTTGGGAGCGTTGTATTTCTGAGCAATGGCATCGGCCACAGCATTTGTCCCCACAAACAGCGTGTTCCAGTTGTGAGAGCTGGAGAGACAGCAAGAAAAACTCAGCCTCAGAGTCACCCATGCCCTTCTTCTCTGGTATTTCTCTACTCAGTTGCCCTGAAAAAACACCAGCTTTGAATGCTATCACTAGCAGCCCAGGGGATAAGCTAGAGCGAAAGGAGGGTGAAGATCCTTAGCCAAGGGACAGGATGAGGGAGAAGTGAATGGCAAATAAGCAGTGTTGGCTACACAGGTGCAGAAATCAGTGCTGGAAGTTCAGATCACCTCAGAAGAAGCCAGCAGTGCAAACCAGAACACAGCTGTATTCTTTCTCCTTAAAGTTTTAAAGCATTGTCCTCTTCTCAGCAAATCTTCCAAGTAGAAAGAGATCTCCAAAGCTTCCACAAGTTTTACAAACATAGACGGCCATGGGGAGGAGAAAGACCCAACTGATTTGGGATCACTACTCAAAAGAGCCACAGTATTAGATACCACAGAATCCAATTCATATTGGAAGTCACTGCAAATCAGGTTTTTCTGCTGCTCACTGAACTACTAGAATTACTTGTTGAGAAGAAAAGAACCAAACAAGTAACAGATAAAGGAAACTGAAAGCTGCACAGCCAGAGTTTATTGACTGGGGTAATCTACACAAGCCCTGCAAAGAATGCACAGTCTTTCTGGTCAATCGAGAATTTGGCAGGTTGTGTTCTTATTCCACTACAAAACACCCCTGTACCTGGCTCTATTGGCTTTGTCCTTGGCCTCTTTCTGCTTCTTGTATGAGGAGGATTCTTCTGCACCTGCCTCTTCCTTTTTTTCTTTTTTGATGGTGGATGGTAAAAGATGCAGCATTCTGCCCTGGAAGAAAGGAAGAAGAGAACCAGCAGCTCTGAAATTAATACCATAAGATCACGAATTAAACAGAAAAAAAAAAAAGGTGTCAAGGTGTCCTCCCAATCAGGTGACATAGCTGCAAGAAAGAAACCTTCCTTCCCTTTTGTCCAAAGATGACACCAGAGCAGCTCAAAGTGGCCACACAACATGACAGACTGTGGGACTTGGATGTCCTTCCATAATGTCTGGGTACCTGTGCAGCTGCTCAAACCAGCACGGCTCTGCCATAGCAACTGTGCTTCCCACATAGCAGGGATCCATTTTGGCAAGCACAGAAGCAAAGACCTGGCCATATTACTAACAAACTGCCCCCACCAGCTGCAGTCTGATAGCACAAGAAAACCCCAAATCACCATACCTGGAACACCTGCCCGTCCATTTCTGCATAGGCCTTCACTGCATGCTCAGGCATCATGTATGTGATGAAAGCAAATCCTTTGGGTTTCTTGGTCAGTCTGTCTATAGGAAAATGGATCTCCGAGACGGGCCCTGCAAAAGGCAAGGCTTTTCCATGAGATGTCCCTACTTCAGCCAGCATGAGCTACAGCGGCTCTCCGAACTGGCATCTGCTGCCAAAACTGGGGGAGGAAGGGACCAGGGAGGGCAGAGCAGCTCTGTACATTATGGAAAGGAGGACAGCGAGGCACTAGGCTGAGTAAAGACCTGCTGACTGGAGACTGACAAGGCAGGCCCAAAAAATCCACCCCAAATCCAGACTGCAACCTTAATTTGACACACAAGCGGAACAGCCGCACTACTGACACAAACACAGCAAATTCTGGGCAGCTGCATTTGCCTGTAGTCAGGAAGAAAGATGCCCACAACCAAACTCTTTCCTCTCCCTAGGGCAATCTCATGCCAAAAACAATGCCAATTTATTTAACTTCAAGCTAGGAAAGGACAGCTTGGAATCCCCACCTGACACAGACATGAAAATAACTTGGGCTGCATTTTAGCCATGGAGATTCATTTATCTACAGAATTTAACAGTCTCTTGCATGAAGAAAGACTCTTCCATGCATGAGGCACTTCCAGTTCTCTTCTCCCATTCCCCTAGATCCCATCAGATTTTAATATGGAAGAAGGAAGAACTTAGACCTGCAAGTCCCATGCCACAGTAGCTGCTTACCGTACTTGGAGAAGATCTTCTCCAAGTCTTCCTCAGTACTGGTAAAGGGAAGATTCCTGACAAAGAGTCTCCCTGATTCAGACAAGTCCTCTTCTTCCTCGTCATCCCTTTTCGTTCTTTGCCATGGCTGGCCATTACTCTCTGCTGTGACTTCCTTTTTGGGGGGGTTCTCATATCGGAATACCTCAATGTATCGTCCACCTAATTCACAAACACATGCAGGGGACATTAGAGACTTCCTGAGGCTCCAAACCCCTCTCAGCCACAGACACTCGATATCAGTACTTAATGAGCCAGTAACATATGCAATTCTAATTCCACAAACTTTAAGCAGAACTCAACCTGATTAATTAAAAAAAAAATAGAAGTAAAGAAACAGAGGGGCAGCAGGAGGTTGCAAGAAAGATCAGTCTTCATGAAAAGCAAGATAACATTTGCTAGACAATTTCAGTCTCCTTTCCCACAGCCAGGATGCAGAGCTCCAGGCCTTGTGCCTCTGCCAACCCAGTCCACAGACCTTTAAGCAGATATTCCCATTCTGCATCGGATTTTTGCAAATATAAGTCTGGTTCCATTAAGGACAAGGCCAAGAACAGGACTCAGACACAGGCTTAGCGAAACATTTTTACAAATCCCCTGCACAATCACAGCCAGATTTAAACAATATCATTTCTGTACCAAGGGCAAGATACACTCCAAGCACAAGACAAAAACAAGGGTCAAGAAGCAATGCGCAGTTCAGTCTCTTGCCAATTCTCTGCTACTTCCCAGGGCACTGACACAGCACCTGATTACCCCATTTCAGTTAAGCAGAGGAAACCACCCCCACCATCTGCCTGGAGAAAATAAGGGCAATAAGAGATACTTTAGCAGTGAACACTTCAGCAGCTGATCCCCACACCACTTCCTTCAGCCACAACAGGAAAGAACAAATAGCCCTTACCTATGTATTCTTTATTGCGCTTCAAGGCCTTCTTCACTTCTGCTTCACTCTTCAAGTCAACAAAGATATAACCTTGGAGGAAGCAAAGGTTCAACTGAGCATCATGTGGGGAACAAACATCAGCTAATTAAGTGTGAATTTTATCTATAGATTCCTATAGATAAAGCATTTGGCTCCCATTAAAATTTCAAAGCAACCTGAAAATGGCCAGGTCAGGTCTCAAATTGGAAGGCTGGCTTTTAAAAGCTCATTCTCACACCAAACAAGCACAGTTTAATAGCCAAAGTAGCCTTTCCCAGGTGTGAAGCCAAGCCAATGATGGCAATGAAAAGGAGAATCTGCTGCAAGGCTATAAAAGGAAAGCAGCATCTAGCAGAGTTCCTTGCCAGCTCCAAGGATCAGCTCCAAAACCCTTTAACGAGTCCCTCAAATAATCACAGCCTCCAGGGAGACCCAGTGTGGCTGCTGCAGTAGCTCTGTGGCTGATACACACATCACCAAACCTCCTCTGCATCCTAAGGCAATGAGGGCAGCAAAGCTGTGAAGTCACAGAAGGATGTGCAGGAATTGGGGCACAAGCCAGCAATTTGGAACCACAGATGACAAGAGCAGAGGTTGAGACCAAGAGAGGTCTCTAACTCACAGATCCCATCCCCCTTGCACACAACCATTACCTGTCTTTTTGCCCTGGGCATTTTTTCCTATTCGGATTGCTGCCGGTTTCAGAGGCAAGAGGAATTCCCGAATTTTTTGCTGCAGAGAAGAATAATAATTGTTTAAATGAGTTCTTAAGATAGACAGTGCCAGGTTTCGGACACTTTCTCTGAGCGCTTTGCCATCACATGCAACTTTTCTGGATGGATCCCGTTCGAAAGATTCCCCCAGTTGCCCGTACAACCCTCAGAACTTTTCCATCATATGAAGATAGAGGCCTCTGCAAAGACAGTAAGTTACAAACTGGAAACACCCTTAAACCACCATTCCCAGTCTTGGGAATCCCTTACCTCAGTGACGTTCAATGGGGCACCACGTAGTTTCACTGTGAAGGGTGTGGTGGCTTCCCCCGAGCTGAGCTGGTTCTTCTGCTGGATAAAAGGACAGGAGAAAAGAAGAACCCTGTTAAACAGCAAAAGTCACAGCACAACAAGCTGGTCTTGCCCAGCAGTTATGACGATTCTGTCGTAACAGCATCAGCCTAGGCAGAAGGTGCAAGTTTTGACCGGGATACAGAAATTCAGTCACTGAATACTGAGCTCTGCAGAATAGCATTCCCTGCAGGCAGGGAACACAGGAAGGAGAAGGAAAACCTGTGAATGAGGTATTGGCAGCACTTGTCGGGAAGTCTGTTTCCTAGAAGGGAAGTTTCATCAAAACAAAGGGACAATCTGGAAACTTTATTAGCTTCTCCCATGTGATGCAAGAAATCCAGCACCTGGGGGTCCTGCAGGCCTCACAGAGATTGACTGGTGTATATATATATATATATATAATCACATTGGCTTTCTGCTATAAATTACACAAAAAACCAAGTTCAGTTATACCTCTAGTGTAGAGCTTTTCTTCTTCTTCTTCTTCTTTTTCTTTTCTACTGCTGTCTCTTGCTCCTTTTTTCCCACGTGGGTGCTGATGGTTTCTGCAATTCCTGAATCCTCCTCACTCTCACTTTTCTCTTCCAGCTCTTCATTGTCTGTCTCTTCTGCACTGGATGAAGAGGAGGAACCTTTCACCACTTTAGATTTCAGGTAATCCATATCTGAGAGGTCTCCCCTGACAGCTGCCTTCTTCTTCTGGCTTTTCTTTACTATAAGAGAGGAAAGAACACAAGAGGTCTTACACACAAATATTCCTGCTTTCTGTTTAATCACATAAAACCTGAGAACACCTAAAATCACCACAATGAACTACCTATTCTCTGTCCTTTACACATGGAGAAAGGAATTGAGAGAATTGAGAACTGCAGGGCAACCTCATTTAGCAACCTCCAAACTGACATGCCATTTTTTTTTCAAAGCAACACTTTTTTATGTATAAATTTAATTAGAAAAATCAAGGAGCTCAAGCGATCCCATAGTGAATTTTGTCTTAGTTTCAATAAAATACTTCAAATTGACCCCAAAGGTGCCTTTCAGTTTTTCAGTTGTACAGGAGAGGGGAGTGCTTCAATTGCTCAAATAGATGCAAGGAGATGTGGGGTAAATATCATTCACTCCAGAAAACAGCATAAGGTAACACCCTAAAGGAAGTGAGAAAGAGTCTAAAAACAGACTGATCATTGCACTACTGGTGCAGGGACACTGGACACCAGCAAGGACCAGACTGGAGTTGAGATTTCTCAATCCTCTGTATGTTTTCCCACTACTAAATTAATACTCCACTGGCTATAGTTTTATTTTCAGGATCTAAGGTGCTCCAACAGGGCCCAAAGGCAAAGTCACTTCCATCAGTCATGCATGCATCAGTCAAAGGCAGACCAGATAAGTTCACAGAAATCAATTAAGGGCTCATTAATAAACAGAAACTACATCCAGCTCAGGAAGTGCTGGTGCCCAAAGTGGCTACAGGCTTGGAGAGCATTATTGGAGAGGATAATGTTTATCCCATCACTCTTCGCTGGGCAGTGACTTAAGGGCTCAAGAGAAACCGCAAATGTCACCCCTTCAATACCAGAAATTGCATTTCCCACATTTCCCCATGTGCAAAAAAACTGAAGGCATTCAGATATCCACAGAAAAAGCCTCGAGCTACAGAAACTGCCTTCCCAGCCACAGCATCTTTCTCTGGAGGCAGCACAGTAGTTTGGGTGGATCTTTGTTCTGATCAGTTTAGCTGTCCTCACGTTCACTGAGGCAAAGACAAGCAAAGGGTGATAGTCACTTCAGTACCTTTGGTGTCCTCCTCATATTCAGAGGGTTCATTCTCATTCTCCTCGTCACTCGGTTCCTCAGACTCATCTGAATCAAAGTTGAGGTAATCAGATGGTGCCTTTGATTTCTCCTTCTTGGGCTCTTCCACCAAAGTGTCATTAGCCCAAGTGGCCACCTGAGAGCGTTTCTGGTGAACCTGCAAGAACTCCTGGAAGGTCTTATCTTGTTCCAGCTGTTGAAAAACAAAACAGACAATCCGTGAACACAGATACAGGACAGCTAGTTGTCAATTTGAATTCAAAGATGTGATCTCACTTCCAGCAAAGAAAGAAAAAAAGAAAGAAAAAAAAATCATTAAAAAGGAAAGAATATATACGATTAAAACATGGCAAAACTTGCATACAGTTGGAAAACAAACAAAAAAAGATTGCTGAGGCATGACTAACCCAGATGCAGTGTCTGTACACAAAAGACAAGTGAACAGTTAAAAATATAAAAAGGTCCCCTGATCCTAGAGCTGTTAAAATCACAGCTTGTTACAATGGAATTGGACTGTACATCACAGGGCTAGGTTAAACCATATGCCTTGTTTGAATTAATAGAAGACGTACAATAAAGAGGTACTCAACTGCGGCTCTTAATACAAATTGGAAACCATGTAGAAGCATCGATCAAGTTCTAAGGTTAGATGAACACAGATGTCTCTGGTACCATCAGTGGGATGTCCACTTTAGGCAATCAGTGCTGTGCATGGGCAAGAGGCACAGTGAGTCACACCTTTGGTGAAGGGGTAGTTTTGCAAATTCTCTCTTTTAGGGGCATCCTAGGTGGTCACACGTGGCTGTTGGCACCACTGCCCTAAACGTAGCTTCATGCTTTTTCCTGAAAGCAAAAATGAAAGAACATGAAGCTGCATTTAGGACAGCAATCAGATAAAGCCACCTTCAGGCCACCAGGGAACTTCTAGCTATGCAGCCGCTTGTCATTATTCAGAGTCCAGCAGTCTCACTTCTTGGAGCAGAACAGGCAGCTGGGAGTAAAAGCAGCTACGTTTATCATTCCCTGGTCACAAGCAAGGGATTGCAATTCAACCTCAACTCACCTGCTGCAAGTTTTCTGCTGCATTTTTCTTCTTTTTGTCCTAAAAAGAGAAAACACTTTCAGAAAAACTCGATGGAAATACAGCCAAGATCACTTCTCAGGTAACTTACGGGTACAGGGAGCATAAGTCCTGAGGCAAAAAGTGCCAAAATCAGGACTCCAGCATTCGCTATCACAGCTACCCCATTCTCTTTAGCACACACCAGACTGCCCTTCTTTTTGACAAGGCTCTGCCTTCCAAGTCACTGACATACGTTGGATCCTCAGGGAAACAAACAGCACTTACTTTCTTTGCATGTGCAGGAGCTGCATTTGTCACAGGCTTCTCAGGCTGCTTTTCTGCGGCTGGGAGCTTTTGAGAGTGTTTACTCCATGCTTTAGGTTTTGAAGGGTCACCAAAAGGCTTGCAGAGCTCAACCTGAAAAGAATCAAACAGTTCTTTAATGAATAGTTCTGTCACAGCCTCCCAAGAACCTCCTTTGTACCACTAAGGAAAGGGGAGAGCAGGGCAAAGAGAACAGCTCGCTCCATGTTTTGGAAGTGTGTGGATGCAGTTTGCTCAACATGGAGAGGAAGACCTTAATGAGTCTATTTAAGCACAGTCAAAGAAGTTATCCTGATCATCATGAATCACTGCACTGTCTAAGCAAGTGCAAGTTCAAAAGTTCAGCTGATCATCATGAATCACTGCACTGTCTTTCCGGGAGAGTAAATGAATGCTTTTAAATGAACAAAAAGCAAGTGCAAGTTCAAAAGTTCAAGTTAATACAACTCAAAGTTCAGCACTATTGATGTGACCAGCACTGAAATTGTCACTAGTGCAAAGAAGGGAGCTCATCTGGGTCAAACACCTGCTTGAGGCTCAGCAGCCAGGCCTGTCATCAGGTTTGGCTATTTTGTTGCAGAGAAAAATCTTCAGGCTTTGCTGACCCCCAACTTTTCATGTTTAACAGTAAAAAAGAAAAAAAAATCTCCACATTTTCACTCTTATAAAGGTTTGTAGTTGGTGTTTTTAAAGGTAAACTCACTGTGATTCTAGAGGTGTCTATGAAACTTTTGTTAAAATGGTTCATTGCTGTTTTAGCTTCATCTTCAGACTTGTAGCCAATGAAGCCAAACTTCCGGAACTTGCCATCCTTGGTGAACTTCAAGCAGCAATCGGTCAGCGTGCCAAAGGCTGCAAACAGTTTCCTAAAGCGGTCCTCATTCATCTGGGAGAAGAACAGACAAAACAGGATGGCAAATTAGCAAGGCAAACACAGCTAGAGAAGTGCTTTATGGACAAGTTTAAAATGAGACGTTTTCTATCAAAGGAGTTTAGAAGCGTAGAAACCACAGAAGCTTCTGCTACGCTTTAGTTACCCCTTCACCACGAGGTCACCCCGCCTACAGGTCGCCCCGTGCAAGGTCTCCCCAGCTAAGAGGGGCACTCAGCTCTCATGGAGCCTGTGGCACCCACCAAGCACCCAGGGGCTGTGTCTGGTACCACCAAGGGAACCTGGACAGCAGAGGGACACTGCACATGTTCCCCAGCTCCGAGGGAAGGAGGGGAGAGCAATGGCCACAAGCCGCTCTCCTCCTCTCCCCTCCTGGGAGGCTTCCCCCAGCCCATGCTCTCCTCCTGCCTCCTACCTCTCTGGACCTCCCTAAATGCCCCCAGGAAATTCCTCCATTTGGGGCACCTTCTTGTCCAGGACTCTCTTAATAACCATTCCCAAGGGAGGGTGTCTCTCTGCTTGCTCAAAATCCCTGTTCCTTCCAAGATGCTTCCGTGTTACCACTTAACAAAAAGGCCCTCTCTCAGGGGAGCCCTCTGCTCTTCCCTCCACGGAGGGCTCCCTATCCCAAAGCCTCTTCCATCCCTCAGCCAAGGACTCTTGTCCCTCAGGGCCTTTCCCTGCTCCTTCCCACCAAAAACACCCTCCCCTGGGGCCTGTCCCTGAAGTGGCCTGTCCCTGACAGGGCTTTCCTAAGACTCTCTTCTGGAGCCCTTGTCATCCCCCTCCTCCCCACCAAAGGGCTCCTCAGCTCCCCAGGACCCTCCCTGGGGCCTGTCCCTGCTACCCTCCAACCTGAATCTCCCCCCACTCATGGCCGCTCCATCCCCCCATCTGACCTCTCACAGGCAGCCTCTCTCCCCACTCCAGCCCCAGAAACACCCCCTTCCAGCGGGCAGAGGCTGCGGCCAGCTGCGCCCTCACCCCATTAGGGAGGTTCTTCACGATAAGTCGCGACATGTCGGCGAGAGGGGGCGGCGGCAGCACCGCGCACGATGCGTCTGCACTCAGCGCCGCGCACGCCGGCTCCTGGGCGCCGCCATCTTCCCGCCGCCCCCCTCCTCCTCGGC